GAAAAGGGGAAACAATGATGCTGAGGACCTACGGTGTTCCTCTCCCCTTGGGAGAAGTACTCATAAGTCCACTCTTACAGCCAAGGACTCTTGGGCACAGGGAAGTCAAGCAAGTTTCTGACAGTCACACAGCTAGTGGTGACAGAGTCAGGATTAGTAACAGAACCAGCTCCTAGAAAACTTGAATGCTGTCATTTTCTCTGTCCTCTTGCTCCCCCATTATTTGAGCCCTGATAATACCACCTACCAGGACCCATCCAGTGCAGGAGCAATGGAAATCCTTTCTGATCTATTATAGAAGGGAATTCTCATTTCCAGCCCTTCCAAGGGCTATTCTAAGGATTAAACCCCACAAATTGATGTTTGTGCAGCTGGGTACCCAGAAAACAGTTTATCATTATTGTCTGTTGTTATTATTTCTTCCTTCCAAACTTATCAGTCTTCTATCCCATTCTCCAGGCCCTGCCCGCTATGAAATATTTCTAAAAGAGTTCTTTAAGGATTGGGTCCACCTCTGATCCTATGTGTTGCTTCAAACATAATGTCCACCATGAATCTAGCAAAGCCTGGTTGAATTGAACAGTGATAGTGGTAGCAGGCTAAACAAGTAAAGGGTACATTGGCAAATCTCTTTCCAGTCGAGGCAGTCCAGTGCCATAGGCTGTTACAAATGCACAGTTTCAAGTTTATAAGGTGATCGGCCCAAGGTGTACACACAACACAGCTTCTCCGCCTCAGCACCACTGGCCCTGGGAGGGGAACAGTCCTGTGCACCGTAGGATGTTTAGAAGCATCCCTGACCTTTACCCCTAGATGCCAGTAGCATTCCCTCTCCTACTACAGCTGTGACAACCAAAAATGTCTCCAGATATTGGCAAATATCTCCCGGAAGAGAGACAAAATCACCCCTGATAGAAAACGCTTGGCACACAGTAAGTGCCCTAATGACCCTAATGGATCATGCTAATGGCAGAAATATGAGATGTACTAGCAGGTGACGGGACATAGTTAAGAGTAGATGAAATTTTTTTCTCCTCCAGTATAGGGATTATATCTTCTTTTAAAATTTTTATCTTATTTTATTTTACTTTTTGAGATGGAGTCTCCCTCTGTCTCCTAGGCTGGAATGCAGTGGCATGATTTCAGCTCACTGCAACCTCTGCCTCCCAGGTTCAAGCGACTCTCCTGCCTCAGCCTCCTGAGTAGTTGGGACCACAGGTGCACGCCACCATGCCCAGCTGATTTTTGTATTTTTAGTAGAGACGGGGTTTTACCATGTTGGCTAGGCTGGTCTCGAACTCCTGACCTCAACTGATTCCCCCCACTTCAGCCTCCCAAAGTGCTGAGACTACAGGTGTGAGCCACCGTGCCCGGCCTGTATCTTCTTTTGGCATATTGGAACTGTTATATTTTTTTCAACTTAGGCTTTCTAATATTTTGTTTTTAAATGCTAACCATCTGCTAGATGATCAGTGCTATTACGGATATAAGGATGATGATACGGTTTGGATCTATGTCCCCCCGCCCCCAAATCTCATGTCGAATTGTAATCCCCTATATTGGGGGCTTGTGGGAAGCAATTGGATCATGGGGGCAGATTTCCTCCTGGCTGCTGCTCTTGTGATAGTGATAGTGCGTAATTGCTCACCCAAGATCTGGTTGTTTAAAAGTGTGTAGCCCCTCCCCACTCTCTCTCTCTCCCTCTGTCCTCCTCCTGCTCCGGCCATTATGCCCAGTAGCAGTGATGGGAATGAATAAAACAGAAAGGAACCTATACTCCAGTCTTTCATGTTTGACCTGCTATTATTCCCCCTTCCCTATAACACAAATTCATAGGAAACTCATTTATTAAACATTTATCATGTCCCAAGTGCTGTACACATTGCATTCATCATTTGATTCACATAGTAAAAACATATTAAGGTAGAGGTTATTATTGTTCCCATTTTATGGATGAAAAAACTGAGGTTCAGACAGGTTAAGTAACTTCCCTAGAGTCACAGCACTGCTAAGTGGCAGAGCTGGGGTTGAGCCCCCAAGTCTGCGAAAGTGAAAGGGCCTTGCCTTTAACCAAATGCTACACTGTCTCTGTTCTCTTTCTTTCATAAAGAAGCTTCATAAAGGGTTCTTAGATGTGGGAATTCAAGGAATCCTGGAAACACAAACACTGGGCTTAGGTCTATGCTTGTGGCATCCTCTGGGTACAGCCAGAGTGCTAATTAGCATTTGTTTATCGCCTCTAATTATCTGAGACTCTCTGACAGTTTGAGTTCAGGAATGCTAATGTGAGGGGAGAGTTGTGAGAAGTTAGAAGCAGAGGCTTCAGGCTTATAGAGACAAACGTTGTGTTTTAGCTGACCCAATGGCTCCTGGAGGGGCAGAGAGACCAGGACATGGAGTTAGAAACAGATTGAAATGAAGAGAGTCACTTACCATGTACCTTTTATCCCAAGAGCTCTCACTTTGCTGGAATTATGCCCTAAATAACCCAGCTCAAGGACTAATGAGTTTCAAAAGATTGATGTAGTAATATTAACATTTGTATTGCAAAAGGTTGTAGAGCACATGTATTATTTTCTGCCTGCCTGGCAACCGTTTTTCTTTCTTCTGGTAATAGGACATTGATTTTGCCTGGGAAGACACCCACTCCAACTTAAAGTCCATGTAATTCTGATGTTGTCCCCCAACCTACACCCCAGCCCTAGGCACCAAGAGGGACCCTGTAATTCAGACCTGGCCAATTACCATATTCTATCTTCATGACCTCAGTGATTGACTCGGGAGTAAGCCAGTGAGAATCAGTTCCACTTTTTCCTAAATGTTGGAGAAGTGTCTAAGTTGTGAATAGATCTGATTGACCTTAGGTTCAGCTATATCCAGAGGATCAATTGCATAAACAAGAATCTGTCATTCCCCGTCTCTGGTCCTGTTTTCCTTTATGTTGCTTCAGGTTTTTTGTACACATTCTCTACATTTCAAGAATTCTGGCTACAAGCAGTGCCCTTCTCAGCCTTAGGCTCCATATGTCAAATTTCATAAGAGAATTCTTCATTGCTCCCACTCACCTGCACACTCTACCCCCTTGGCCAATTACAGCTGGGAAAATGCAGTTCTACGACTGGCTGTATCCAGGTCACCCTTGCAGCTGCAGGGAGGTGGGACAGCAGGTGCTATCAGGTTCACTGTCTGTGGAAGATGAACAGTTTCTACAAGGTAGGCAGATGCCCTGCACGGTTCTTTTCAACTATGAATGGGTCCCTATCTTTTTCACGTGTCCAGAAAATGGACTATGTCATTAGACTTTTCAGACTTGGAAGGACACACTGGCTCTGTCGATGGTGTCATTGGCCAAATCATATTCCTTGGAAGACTTACAATGCAAGTTATAAGCAGATGTTGGTGACATAGTAGCATGCTACTGCCAAGACACAGGGACAGGTCAATGGATTCAATTGAGAGGATGCTTAATGGCCCATTTCCCTCCAAAAGCAGGAGACAGAGGAGATGGTGACTCTCCCCTGCCACCCAGTATAGCCTCCTTCATCCTTCCTTTCTCCTGTAGTCTCCCTCTTTTTTTGGGGGGTGGGGAGTCTCGCTTTGTTGCCCAGGCTGGAATGCAGTGGCACAATCTTGGCTCACTGCAACCTCCACCTCCCGAGTTCGAGTGAGTCACCTGCTTCAGCCTCCCAAGTAGCTGAGACTACAGGTGCCTGCCACCATGCCCGGCTAATCTTTGTATTTTTAGTAGAGACAGGGTTTTTCCATGTTGGCCAGGCTGGTTTAGAACTCCTGACCTCAGGTGATCTACCATGCCCAGCCTCCAGTGTCCCTTTTATACCCCTTCTCAGCTCCTGCTAGGGTATTCTCAATTTAAGCTACTGATGTCACTCTTTGTAAATGTCAGTGGGTCCTCATTTTATAGTTCAGAGTCCAAGGTTTTCAAGTTGGCTTCTGGGCTACTTCCAGCCCATCCAGAACCCACCTGTTGTTTTAAAAATTTTTTAAGGCTGGGCACGGTGGCTCACACCTGTAATCCCAGGGTTTTGGGGAAGCCAAGGTAGGCGGATCATGAGATCAGGAGATTGAGACCATCCTGGCCAACATGGGGAAAACCTGTCTCTACTAAAAATATAAAAATTAGCTGGGCGTGGTGGCACACACCTGTAATCCCAGTTACTCGGGAGGCTGAGGCAGGAGAATGACTTGAACCCGGGAGGCGGAGATTACACTCCAGCCTGGTGACTGAGTGAGACTCTGTCTCAAAAAATAATAATAATATAATTAATTTTAATTTATTTTGAGATGGGGTCTCACTATGTTGTCCAGGTTGGTCTCGAATTTCTAACCACAAGCAATCTCACTTCAGCCTCTTGAACTGTTGGAATTACAGGCGTGAGCCACCACACGTCTCTTCCCCACCTTTCTAATGACGATGCTTCCTTGTTTCTCTACCTCCTCGTTTCTTCCATTCTTTGTCATGCTTCAACTGTAGTGAGTTATTTTTTTTGTTCCCTGTGGGTACTGTTTCTTTGGCACCTCTGCACCTATAATTGTGTTGCATAGGACACTTTCGTCCATGAACAATCTTTTAAAAACTCTTCCTCTATTAAGCCTACACTACACTGTCATCATCTGAGACAAGCTTTGAGAACACAAATTCTGGAAGTTCAGCATTCCGATTCTACCATTTATTACCCCTGTGATCTTGGACAAATTAGCCTCAGTTTTCTCATCTGTAAAATTTGAGATATTAATAATAATAGTGTATCTTCCTCTTGGAATTGTTGTGAGGTTTAAATGTATTAAATTATCTAACACACTTGGAGCAGTGCCTGACACATGAATGCGCCATAAGTGTTTGTTTATTGTTATTTTATTCATTCCCATACCTGTCTCCTTGTAAACTTTAGGCTCTTTGAGGGCAGTGAATATGGCTTTTTTTTTTTTTTCTGTTTCCTCAGTGTTTATTAGTTACTCTTTTTCCTTCCCTCACTGCAAAGAGATAACTGGGTTTCTGAACACTGAGCATCAACATCTCCAGTCTCATCATGGGAGACACTCATCCAGAAGCAAATCTCAGCCAACGGGAGTGGAGCCAACGTGGGAGGCTGCAACTGCAGTAAGATTGCCACCATTCAGGGACCAGCCAGGATCTCATGCCTACTGCTGCTTTGGTGGCTATGATGGACCATTTCAACAGGTGACCACACGGAGAATTGAACAACATATTCTTATGGAAACAGCACCTGTACAGGGAAAGGCAGGGCATGTGGGGAAACACAGGAAACAACACAGAGGCAGAAGCAGCACTTGAGGGGGAAACAGTGCTCCTCTGGGCTCGGCATGCTGCGTTGTCTGCTGGGCGGCTGGCGGAGGACCAGGGCACAGAGCAGTATTTAACTGCTCAGCTCTTGCTCTGAACAGCTGAGCTATAAATGCTCATACCTCAGCCGAAGAATAAGCAACCTAATCTGAAATCGTATTCCAGTAAAAATAAAAATATGTTGGGTTGGAAGAAAGAGAGTTGCATTGCCTTTTGATTTCACCTCCCACCTCTTTTATTGCAAGAATTGTATTGCTGCTCCTCCAGCTGTGATAACTCTTTCGGGAATAATAAGAGCTCTCATCTGTCTTAAACAGACCAATGAAAGAATTTATTTCTCCTACGCTGTTTGTGAATATTGAGTTAAGTAATAGCTGGCACTTATAGACCACCTTAATATGCGTTAGCATTGTACCCTCAGGGCAGTCATTGGAGGTAAGTGTGGCAATCATCTTGGTTATACATAAGCAAATGAAGAACCAGAGAAGCTCAGCGGTTTGTTCAAGGTCACACCGCCAGTCTATAAGATAAGATGGTATAAAGGAAAGAGCTCCATTCTGAGGTCAGATAGTTCTGAGTTCTTATCTCTGTTCTGTTACTTAGTAGCTGGGTGACCTTGTTGTTTCTCCTCTCTGAGTCTACATTTCCTAGTTATTAAAATGGTATAGTAATGCTCACTCCATGGATTTATTATCAATTCAGTGGAACATTTATATAAAAAGACAATGTCAAATATACTGCTTAATAATTCCTTCTCCATTTGCTCCTTTTTCTTTCTAAGAAAAACAGTTGGAGCTTGAACTCAGACCAGCTGATCTCCCAGCCCACACTCTTTGCACCCTTCCATGCTGCCTGCCGTCTCTACCCTCTCCCGGCTGACAGTACAGTGGCAGCCGGGAGGTGATGCCTTCTTACAAATCATCTGTGATATAGTGAGGAATATCCTTGGGTACTAGAGGAACATGCATTTATGCACTTATTCAATGAGAGAGCTCCATGTGGATTTAGGGGGAGGGCGGGTCCAGCTTTGAATATGTGCTTGTTAAATTGTCTGTGTGAGGAGCCAAGGGGCACTGCTCAATAGGTAGCTGGATATGCAGAGCTGAAGCTTGGGAAACCAATCTGAGCTTTGGCTGCAGATTTATGAGTCATCATTGTACAAGGGATCAGAATATAATTCCGGCTTTTATGACTCTCAGAGGTGGTGGAAACAAGGTGTGGCAGAGACAGAAATAATTACAATACAATATAAAATATGACAGTCTAGATTAAAATAAATCCAAGAGGACAAGAACTTTGTCCTCATGGAGCTTAGGTTGCAGTGAAATTTAAGAGACATGAATCAAAGTTTCCATTCAAATGGAAAAATTGTACTACCAAACTTTCCAACTGTGTCTGTGGTGACTTCAAAATTCATTCATTTAGTTGTTAATTCTTACAAAAGATATATTTGTATTTGTTTTTGTTTTGGGATAGAGTCTCACTCTGTTGCCCAGCCTGGAGTGCAGCAGGCTGATCTCAGCTCACTGCAACCTCTGCCTCCCAGGTTCAAGCGATTCTCGTGTCTCAGCCCCCAGGTAGCTGCGATTACAGGTGCCCGCCACCACACCTGGCTAATTTTTGTATTTTTAGTAGAGATGGGGTTTCACCATGTTGACCGGGCTGGTCTCAAACTCCTGACCTCAGGTAATCCACCCGCCTTGGCCTCCCAAAGTGTTGGGATTACAGGCATAAGCCACTGTGCCCAGCCCATCCTTACAGAGGTTATTTATTCTGCTCCTATTATAAACCAGACTCCGTGCTGGGTTCTGCAGATAATGTGATGAGTAAAAGAAGATGCATCTTCTTTCTCCCATGGAGCTTAGAGTTTATTGGAAGAGACAGATAGATAGTAATCAGTTTGCATAATACACATAAAATTGCAACCGTGACAAGGGGTATAATGCATACCAAATGATACTAGAAAGTATTAACCTAGACAGAAAGGTTGGGAAGACTTCCATGAAGAAAGCTCTAATGATATTAGAACTGGATACTAAAGGATGATGAGGCATGAACTAGGTGAAGAAAGAAGGATGGAGAACTTTAAAGAACAGCATGTGCAAAGGCCCTGTGGCAGCAAGAGTGTTGTGCCTAGAAAGGACTGGCAAAAACCAGTGTAACTTCGTTCAGTGGGCATCCAGCTACAGTTCAAAATCCATCACTCTGTCTTCAGTTACAGCACAGATTTGGGTCCCATAATATCTAGTTACCTTGATTCTAAGGTGTCAATGATTGTGTTATCCCACTGGTTTGTTAACATTGTTTTTTTTTAATTGAAAATATAAACAAAAAAATGGTGAGAGCTTTGCTACCACATTCAATTACTACATTAATTTTTTTTTTTTTTTTTTAGATGGGATCTCGCTCTGTCACTCAGGCTGGAGTGCAGTGGTGCGATCTTGGCTCACTGCAGCCTCCATCTCCTGGGTTCAAGCAATTCTCCCATGTCAGCCTCCCAAGTAGCTGGGATTACTGGAGAGCACCATCACACCTGGCTAACTTTTGCATTTTTAGTAGACAGGGTTTCACCATGTTGGTCAGGCTGGTATCAAACTCCTGACCTCAGGTGATCCACCCACCTTGGCTTCCCAAAGTGCTGGGATTACAGGGGTGAACCACCTCACCTGGCCTACACTGATTTTTTAAGTGGACTTTTTATTTGGGTGATTTTAGATTTACAGAAAACACATCAATTTAAAGATGCATTCTGAACTTCAAAATGTGAAGAAGATGCTTCTTGGAATTGAAACAATTTTTATGATTATGATTACGACCACCACAGCTAACATAATTAACTTTGTACTGTGTACCAGACACTCTGCTAAGCACCTTCAATTTAAAACTCAGACAAAACAGAAACAGGTGCAAAGTGGTTAACACACTTTCCTGGTGTCACCCTGTTAAAAGTGACCAAGTCAGGGCTTTCACCCCAGCTGTTCGGGTCCAGACCTCTGTGACCACTCTATGCCCCTTGGCCCAGCTCCCCTTCCCAGGATGTAGTTTTCTTTCACCAGTTGCTTTTGGGAATAGGTGATGAGCTGAGTGACAAAGGATGAGGCTGAAGGGGGTTCTGTTCTTACCCGTGGCTTTAGGCGTGTCTCCCCTCTGACCTCACAACCTGTGGCTTTAGGCATGTCTCTTTCCCCTCTGACCTCCCTTTTCCCAAGCCAGACCAAGCACAATATGAAAATGTTGCAGATTCCCTGGGCAGATGATTGTCGCCTCCAAGTTTAAGTCCAGCCTGTTCACACCAGCTGCACAGATTTGCTGTATTAGTACCAGGAGTTGGACTTTCCAACAAAGAGGGAGCCCAGGGGCTGGTGAAGTCCAGATGATTATTCATGTTCCTTTCCAGATAATCATAGTCATCCCTAGATCTCATTTATCTTGTCCCCTCCTGGGTACCACGACAGGAAACTAGCCATTCCTCATCACTCAACTGTTGATCTCTTTCGCTAGCTTGTTGATTGGCTTCATGACAACTTTGGTGGCAGATATTAAAGTGAATGAGAGGTCCACCGTAAGGAAGATTAGAAAAAAATAAAATTTACTCTTACTCATTCTCAACCATATGAAAGACTCTACTTAAGGATAGCAATAGCTGTCACTTGCAAGGCCTGAGGATTCCAGTATTCCTTGCTTGGCATAATGCACAAATTTCCCATTCTTAATTATTTCTTTGGGCTAAGATATTTATACATTTTATATTTATATATTTATACATTTTACAATTTGTACAGAGACAAGTAACCTATAAGTGTTAGAGCTCAAAAGCGTAGATCTATATTCAGACTATCTGGGATTGAACCCTAGCTCCACTATTTTCTTTGGGAACATAGACAAGTTACTAAATTCTCCAGGCCTCAATTTCTTTATCTGTAAAATGAGCTTAATAGTAACACATATCTTATAAATTTGGGATGTGTCCCTTCTCTCCTCTGCTCTCACACAGCCTCCTGTGGTCTCCATAAGTTCACTGATGATTCTGCCAGCCTGATTACACTGTCTGTCCTTTCAAGGGCAGGAAGTGCACTAGACTCATTTCCAAGGATGTTTTCACTAAATTTTTGATGATCAAGTAAATATTGGGGGAAAACCCAGGCAGAGATTCATATCTTGATTCTAGTCTTGCTTCAACAATCAAATGACTATGTGACCTTAGGTAAATCTCTAGCCCCCTCTGAGTCTCCATTTCTTCTTCTGTATTACAGATGTGTAGATTTGAAAATCTTTAGAGTCCTCTTCTTAGTTCCGAGGTTCAATACTTCTCTTTCTCTCTCATAAGAGAATTATGACTGTCTTTGTGGAAACAATACATCAATACATGATTATCACTTAAATGCATGACATAAAACATTTAAATAAGTTCAGGCACGGTGGCTCATGCCTATAATCCCAGCACTTTGGGAAGCCAAAGTGGGAGGATCTCTTCAGCCCAGGAGTTCAAGACCAGCCTGGGCAACATAGGGAGACTCCATCTCTCTAAAAAATTAGCTGGCCATGTGATGCATGCCTATGGTCCCAGCTACTCAGGAGGCTGAGGCAGGATTGCTTGAGCCTGGGAGGTTGAGGCTGCAGTGAACCATGATGGCACCACTGCACTCTAGCCTGGACAACAGAGCAAGACTCTGTCTCAAAAATCAAAAATAAAAGCAAAACAAAAGAAATAATTAACACTTAAATAATTCAGAAAAGTGCAAAGAAAGAGTAAAAAAAACTTACCCCAAATTCCACCATCTAGAAATTCCACCATCTAGAAATAACGATGGCTAGCATTGGATGAAGATCATTCCAGACAGACATCTTATGCTTATATCCTAATAGAAGCAGGATCAACAGATAGAAATAAGATTACAAAAACAGGATCGTAGCATCCTGATTCTTTTTGAAATATAGTATTGAATTAATTTTTTTTACTGGATAGAAGAAGAAAGTAAAAGAAGAGTAGAACTGGAAGAAAAAGAAACTGAAATGAAACTAAACGAATTGCTGAACTTCAGAGTCCTATTATCCTGACATCAAATACTCATGAGGCTACAGCCGACAAATACCAACAATTCTGATGCAGACATTTCAAATTAGAGGATAGAACAGGTGCCTTTTAATTCTGAGTGTGAGATCTCAGCTCTAAACTGGAAGAATAGGCTGCAGGGT